TTTTTGGTAAGTATTGAACGGTGACATGCTAGTAAATCCGATTGCAATATGATCCTGGTTTGAGCTTTTTTTGTTTGTTTTTTATTGGAATTTCCTATTTTTTATTAGCTCCGCTGTAATGGCAGATGACACAGCGAAGCTGTTCATATTACTGATTGTGCATCGCTGTCCATCCGCCAACAATTGTATTTTCATATTCTTCTCTGAAACCACAGCTCAGATTTGTTCATTTCATTACATTATCTCAATTTGTATTTTTGGCAAATATCTTCAAAACTGCTCTTCAGAATGGTGTCATATTGTTATTCAAGTACCTATATCTTTGTTCTTTCATTGACAAGACAGCGGAGCTTTTTCGACAGTGGGGTTGTTTTATTAACATTTGTTCACATATTCAGATGAATTAACACCCATTCTGATTCAGTATATTGTGTAATGTGTACATTGCAGTAATCCACTTTGGTTTCAATATTTTTTTTTTATCGGTTTCATGTTCCAAAATAATTGTATGTTTTTAGGTGGTGATAGACTGACAGATGAGAGAGCTCAGGGTGCTAAACGTGCTATGGATGACACTATAACATCTCTCACAAGGCAGGAAGGTATAATTCCAAAATGTGAAGATTTTCACAGAGAAATGAACTTCCTTGAGGTAAATAAACCAGTGTTCTCCCCAGGCCTTTCAAGCACTGCGGGCCCGCGTCGCTTAGACAAACAGCCGCGTCGCTTTTGTTTCGCCCGCGATCCTTGAAATCCTGCCCGCAATGCTTATTCACGTTGTATTGTTTACAAGTGTCAGCCTCGTCTAGCACATCTTTAAAACAATAACATGTATTGATCGAAAGGTAATCCCGCCTTTGTGCATAGTTAGCCTTACAAAAACAGTGATAAAAACGGAAGTCTACAAGAAGTTACCAAGTCTATCAAGGGTGCGGAGCTGGCAAACCCAAAATACTAGGGTAGTAATAATTTGCCCATTGCATCGGGATGGTTTATGCCGAGTTGCTGCACTGCGATTAATTGCGTTTTTACTACTTCATCGCCAGTGACACTAATTACCAGAATTAAAAAACAAGTGAAATTAAGTCGCATCGGAAAAAAACTAAATAAATCGAAGTAAAAATTATTCACTGCAGACGAGACGGACGAAGAAAAACGAAC